AAAAAAATACACAAACCATCTTGAGCAAAAACATCAAAGCAGGAGGCATTAAACTACCTGACTGCAAAATATTGAACAAAGTAGTACTCAAACAACATGGTAATAGCATAAATGCAGATATGTAGACTGGGGAAATGAAATAGAAGAGCCTAGAAGTAAACCACACATTTTCAGTCAACTGATTTTTGACAAGGTGCTGAGACCACTGACTGGGGAAAGCAGTTGTTTCAAAAAATGGAACTGGAAAAATTGTCTACCCCATACACAATGATGAAGCTAGACCAGGACTAAACTAATGGTTTCAAACATCAACTCAATATGTGTGAAATATTTACATGTAAGCCCTGAAACAATGACATTATTTGAATAAAAACAAACAGCAGGTATGCTTCAATACCTTAAAATGGGCAAATATCTTCTTGGAGAAGCAATGCATAGGAAACAAAAGCAAAACAGACAAAGGGAATTGTATAAAAGCAAAAAACTTCTACAAAGCAAAAGTCAACATATTGAAGAGACAAACTACACGAAGAATGAAAATATTTCAAAACTATACATCTGAAAGGGTTGATATCTAGAAGACAAAAACAACTCCAAATCTTAAGAGAGGGGAAAAAAGAATAGAAAAGAAAGCAAAAGAAGAAAAACAATCCTATTAACAAAGGGCAATGGACTTCAACTGACATTTCTAAAAAGAGACATACATATAATGGCCAAGTGGTACACGAAAAAAACACTCCACATCACTAATCATCAAGGAAATTCATGTTTATATCACAGTACACCTGGCATGGTGGCACAAACCTGTAATCCCAGCAGCTCTGGAGGCTGAGGCAGGAGGATTGCAAGTTCAAAGCCAGCCTCAGTCATTCATCCAGGGGCTAAGCAACTTAGCAAGACCCTATCTCAAAATTAAAAAAAAAAAAAAGGATTGGAGATGTGGTTTAGTGATTGAGTGCCTCTGGGTTCAATCCCTGGCACCAAAGAAACAAAATAAAATCACCTCACAGTAGTAAGAATGGCTTTATCATAAAGAACAGAGATAACCAGTGCCAACAAGTTCTGGAGAAGGGGAATCCTGCACACTGTTTTTGGGAAGGTACATTAGCACAACCAGGATAGAAAGCTGTATGGCGGTTCCTCATAAAACTAAGAATAGAGCTATCACATGATCCTCTAATCTCCCTACTAAGAATAATTCCAAGAAAATGGAATCAGTGTGTCAGAGAGACATCTGCACTCGTGGGTGGCTTGCAGAAGCTAAGGAAAGGAAAATACCCCAGTATCCCTCAAATGATGAATAGATAAAGAGAATACGGTACAATTCCACCAAGGGTGCTAGTCAGTCATAAAAGAGAATGGAATCCTATCATTTGTGACAATATCAACTGAATATCATTGTGTTTAAGTGAAATAAACCAGGCTAAAAAGACAATTATTGAATGATCTCCCCCATATGTGGAATGTAGAAATTTTGATCTCATTGAAGTTGGGAATTGAATAATGGTTACAAAAGTCTAGAAAGAGTAGGAAGGAAGGAGGAATGGGGAATGATTGACTGTTGAGCCCTAATTCACAGTTATACAGGAGCAAGAAGTTCTCGTGTGCCATTGTGTAATAGAATGACTATATAATACTTATGTACTGTTTCCTTCAAAAGGCCAAAAGAAAGGAATATTAGTGTTTTTAGTATAAGGAAATGATGAGTGTTTGAAGAGACAGCCATTTTTAACCTGATTAAACATTGCACAGTGTATTAACGCATAAAAACATCTCATGGTTTCTCATCCATATAACTTTTATGTTGTCATTTATCAGTTGAAATACATTTATATATTAAAAATGTACTAACCAGCTTGATCCCTACAGGCAGTTTAATTGCTTCTTCCCTACCAAAGTAGGATCAGGAGATACAGTTAGTCTCACAGGAGAAATCTCCAGAGATCTCCAAGTTTCCATAATTCTCTCCAGATCTCCATGTGTTTGCCTCTGAAATCCCAATGCCTCAGTGTTAAAGGGAACACTCTGTATGCTGTATGCCAAGGCCATTGAACACCGTTTTGTCATCTGAATGATCATCATCCTCAGGCCTTCTTCTGACCTGAGGATTTGCTATGACCTTCAGCCATGGTCAAGGAAAATACTTAAAGTTATCAATAATATTGGTTGACTTTTAAATGATAGCCTCTTCATTAGATGCATTGAAGGCCTGTCTTATTTGTTATGTATAGACACTAGCTATGAATTGTGTGAAACAATCTTTCATTTTTATTTTACTAATAAGTGTTCCTTCCAAGACACAGAAAAATTTGAGTAGATTCTTAACAATTCTTGTGAATAGTATTCCCTTCTTTTCATGCATCTCTTAGAGAAGTTGAAAACTTTGGACTACTACCTGAGAAAGAGACACCTATCTTCTAATAACATTTATGCAATATTCCATTGTTGGTATTATGATTTAAGATGAGCTATTTTGGATTGACTGATCTTACTACTTCAGTAAACTGGTAAGCTTATATATTCCATAAATGTTTAAGTGAGAAGTATAATTCATGCAAAAGCAGTGGGGTAGCTATACCAAATATGAGTTATTTGGAAAAAAGAAGCTTTAAAAATATATGTAAAATGGTGAACAACTCCACAGTATATATGTCAAAATATCTATTATAAGAAATTTGTGATTCATAAAAAAGCATACTTCTTTACCCCAAACTGAAAATAATAAAAGATGTTGCTTTGGTGGATTATAGGAAGACATTAACTTATTTACTATAGATTTATATCTCATTGAGAGGTTAAAATATAAACAACCAACCAAGGATAGTGAAATGATTCTTCTTTAAACTGCAAAAGGATTCTAACTGAAATACTGAGGTCTGAACTACATTTGAGCTCTTTTACCATTGACTCAGGGTTATTCTCTGATGTGGCTTTAATTGTGAGTCTTGAGTCTTTCTCATAACACACATAATTTAGAGTATCACACAATGTCTCAAATCCTCAGTGTACTTACTGAAGTAAGAGTTGTGTACTATCTACCTTTGACGTGATCACACTAGCATAATTTATTTGTAAATCTCTTATCATTTGCTGTAGAATATAGCACATGCTGAAAGTGACAATGTTTAACATTTTTCAACCAAGTATCTTCATGGAGCAGACTTACGGACTGAAGCTGCAAAAGTCTGAGGGAAAAAAAAAACTGGAAAGGGGTACTAGTTAGTTTTACATAAACATTTTTTAAAATTTTTAATTCAAATAAATAATTGGAAAATATTTTTTTTACTACTCAAGGACCTATTCAAATAAAATATTGTATAATATGGAACTTTCACCAATGTAAAGCTAAAAATAACCCATCAACTGGGAACTTTCAACCCTGGGTCTCTGTAATGTGGCTATGGAATGACAGTATAAGAGAATAATTTAAGAGAAATGGACTCTTTTATTTCAACTAAACTATGGGTTTCAAGGAAGAAATTTCTAGTAAAATTGCCCCACATGGTATTGCAGCAGCAGTACTCATATGCTGAGGCAGAGAAAGACTGAAAAACATTGGGGGGCAGAGAATCTCACTGGTCCTAGCACAGGAACAAAGGCCCTTTGGGAAGAAAGGTTTCAATCTAAACTCCAGATTCAAGCCCTGAATGACAACAAGAATACTGATCAAGCCCACAAAAAGACACGATCCCGACCCAATAACAACACCATGGCTAGTACCCATGAGGCTGTGCTCCACTACCTGCAGTTTATCCTCCTTTAGATATTATCATCTTTAATTCTTACAGGTAGATCTCATGACTTTTCTTTAATATTAGTTTCACTAAGAAGTTCTCATTAACTTTTTTATCTTGCAGATGGAAACAGGATGCTCAGGGGAGCTGGTTTGGGACCAGTGATTTCTGGGTGACCAATGGTAAGTCTGATGTGAATTTCTTCTAGGAATCTAAGCTCTCTCTCTGCTCCATGAGGTGACATGACTTCTCTCACAATTTCCTGTGCAGGCCAAACATGTTCTCACCTTGTCGATTGTTCCACCACATCTACCATGCATAGAGACGTGCTGTGCTGGTTCAAGAGATAAACCCTTCTTCAACATAGTCTAAATTGTATGCTTTCTGCCATCACAGTCAATGTGTTTAGATGTGCGGGTGATAATAAGCATGAGACTATGGAGAAAAGCTTGAAAATGGAATTCAGATGTTGTTAATTCATTTCAGACCATTCTGTCATTGAAAGAAGAATCATTGAACTTCAGGGTTTTTCTTGGCTTGTTTCTTGTACCTCCAGTAAGAGACAAACTTGAAGTGACTCAGTTCATTGTGAAATCGCAAACACTGAATTTAAATCAAAGGATACAGGCATAATGATAACCTGAGTCAAATTTCAATTTGATTTAAATTCAATATAACCTGTTACATATAGGAACCAATCAGCATGGGTTAAAGGTTGGTCTGGGACCAGAGCAGAAATTATCAATTAATCATTGCGCAACTATTAATATTTCTCAACATCTGCTGGCAAATATTTACATGAATGTAACAAAAAAATCAAACTCACCATGGAGAGGAGAGTGTGAATTCACATTTTCCATAGCAGTTCTTGGTGGGTGAATGATATGGAAGCTCACCTTTCACTGAGCCCAGAAGAAGTGAACCAACAGATAGCTTCAGCCACATACATCATTTTTATTAAGTTATTAAATATTTTACATCTCAGATAATAAATATGTAAACATTTAAAATTGGGCTCTGAGTCATTATGATGCCTGATTCCACAGTATGTAACTCTAGACTTTCATACAGCACTAAATTTGATTTTCAAAAGCCTATGCTTTTTTCTGGAAAATCTCAAAGTACAGGTTGTTACTACAATGAAAGAATACAATAAAAGAATATACCTTGAAGTTATACTTTTCCTCTTCAATTGAAATTCTTTATCATTTTGTGCTTTTCCCTCCTCATAGCTGTAGAAGATCTAGAGATTTTCAGACAATGTAAATGGAGAACAAGACAGAAATGACCTACTTCATCCTGCTGGGACTGACCAAGGACCCACGTCTGCAGCTTCCTCTCTTTGTGACCTTGCTCCTCATCTACACCATCACTCTGGTTGGGAACCTGGGGATGATCCTGTTGATTCTCCTGGACTCCCGTCTCCACACTCCCATGTACTTTTTCCTGGGTAACCTGTCTCTGGTGGACTTGTGCTACCCTTCAGCTGTCACTCCCACGGTCATGGCTGGGCTCTTTCTTGGAGATGAGGTCATCTCCTACAATGCTTGTGCTGCTCAGATGTTCTTTGTTGGAGCCTTTGGTACTGTGGAAAATTACCTCTTGGCCTCAATGGCCTATGACCGCTATGCAGCAGTGTGCAAGCCCTTGCACTACACCACCACCATGACCACAAGTGTGTGTGCATATCTGGTCATAGGCTGCTATTTCTGTGGTTTCCTGAATGCCTCCATCTACACTGGGAACACGTTCAGTCTCTCCTTCTGTATGTCTCACGTGGTCCATCACTTTTACTGTGATGTTCCAGCAGTCATGGTTCTCTCTTGCTCTGATAGACATGTTAGCGAACTGGTTCTTATTTATGTCGCCAGCTTTAATATCTTTTTTGCTCTCTTAGTTATCTTTATATCCTACATATTCATTTTTATCACCATCCTAAAGATGCGCTCAGGTGCAGGACTGTCCACCTGTGCCTCCCACTTCACCGCAGTCTCCATTTTCTATGGGACTGTTATCTTCATGTACTTACAGCCCAGCTCCAGTCACTCCATGGACATGGACAAGATCGCCTCTGTGTTCTACACCATGATCATCCCCATGCTGAACCCTGTGGTCTACAGCTTCAGGAACACGGAGGTCAAGAGTGCATTCTCAAAAATTCTTCTGGAAGGAAAATAATCCATAGGATTCTGACCTTCACTCTTTGAGATGCACAGGGCCTGCATTCCCTCTTCTCTGATCTCCTGAATGTACTGTGTCGTTTATTAAAACCTGTGCTGAGTGCACATTCCTGAAGTGACACATTTTCCACTGCAAAATCTACTGCCTGGTTAAAGGGAAACGTGTGGAAACACAACAGCTGAGTGGCAATGTGAGTGGTATCTTGGCATTTGCTTATTGAGGAAATTGATAATTTAATAAGTTTCCTCTGCTTTTTCAAACTGTGTCACTATAAATGTATGTAAAATAAGTGGAGAGGAAGCCCATGAACAGAACGCGGCCCATTGCCAGAATTAACATAAAGTGGCTACTGTGGTAGTTACTTTTGTGTAAATTTGACCATACTAGGAATATCCAGATAGCTGGGGAAGCATTTCTCTGTGTGTGTCTGTGAGAATGTTTCCCAAAGAGAGAACTTTGAGTCAGTTGGCTTGTCAATAGGATGGCTATCATCCAATTCATCAAGAGCTCACCTGAATAGAAAAAAAAAGGTAAGAGAAGGATAAATTCTTTCTCTCCCTTTTTCCCTCTCCCTCTCTTATCTTTGGACAGAGGCATCTGTCTCTCTCACTCTGAACCTCAGAGCTACTGGGTCTCAGGTTCTTGTTCTCCACTAGACACACTAGACACACCTTGCCCTCCTCAACATTCCGGGTTCTCCGCCTTGTAGACAGAAAATCATGGGTCTGTTCAGTTTCCATAATCACATGAGCCCATACCCATAAAAAATCTTCTCTTATACATTTCTATATACTATTGATTTTGTTTCCCTAGAGGGCCCTGAACTATAAGAGCAGGGTTTAGCAATCCTAATTTAGTATTGAATTTGGTTATGAAAATATAAATTGAAATCTAATTAATTTTTCTTTCTTTATATTTTGAAAAGCTCTCATTTGAGGAAAACATGATATACTATGAAATGAAAGTTGTGCTTTCTTGAACATTTTAAAAATAAATATATAATTTTGGCACTTTGGGGTGTATTAATATTTCTCTTAAGACATTTTGTACAATCAACATATTCATGTTTTAATAGTCATAGGCATAAAATAACTAAATTACCAAAACTATTGAGGAAAATCATAGCAATTTAAATGTATTATATATTATTATTCAGACTACTTAAAACTTACCATGATAAACCACTGATGCAATCTTTTTTTATTTTTTATTTTTATTTATTGTTTTGGGTACCTGGGATTGAACTCAGGGACACTCAACCCTAAGCCACATCCCCAGCCCAGTTTTGTATTTTATTAGAGACAGGATCTCACTGAGTTGCTTAGCACCTAACTTTTGCTAAGGCTGGCTTTGAACTTGCAATCTTCCTGCCTCAGACTCCTGAGCCACTGGGATTATAGGTGTGTGCCACTGAGCTTTGTCTTTTTCTTTTTATTTCCAGAAATGCTTTAAAATTGTCAATACTGACCATTCATTCTTTACTTATTGAGCTATACTCTCTATTGTCACTTCCCCAGTCTTTTATGTCACTCTATGCTCACTAATTTTTTTCTCTGTTTTTTTTTTTTTACAACTCCAATGATGTAAGGACCTTTGTATGTTCTTTTTCCTGTGAGAAATAGTCTTATTCCATTCAGATATTCTGTGAAATATTAACCTGTCATGTGTCCTGTCCATCTATATAAAACACTCCTTTTCCATTTACTATATGAACTGTCCCCTTATCCTATATCATTCTTCACAAACCTAATGAACCCTTGTCACCTTATATTCACTTACCCAATCCTCATTTATCTTCCCAGACTACAAGGTAAACACCCATGATCAGTGACTTTGTGTTTCTGTTCAAACATGATAATCAGTAACTGGACAGAGGTCAATTTCCTAGTAGAATCAACAGAATTTTTTTAAATGGATGAATACATGAATAAAGCTTGGAGTTCAACTGCACCAATAGGTTGTCCTTTGAATCATGGACAGTGAGAGCAAGTCTTGCAGAGGATAAGCCTTCTAGATAAATATCCAGTACCTTGCTAGAGAAACAGCTAATTTTCTGCTTTTCTGAGATAACTTTTTTCCCTATAATTTCTCTCAGTTCTCACACTCCTCACTTTTAGGCAAAGTGATTTTCTGGGATTCCTAAGAGAGCTGATTACACACTCTCATAATTTTAGTAAGAAGTAATGTCTCGTGAAGTGGCAAGTAAAATGTCAAATAAGTACTATTTAGGAAATCATAAACACAAGATGCATTAAAGGCCTCACTTCTGGTTATTTTTTAAAAATTAATTAATGCACACAAATTATACTATTGACTAGAAAGATTCTAAATGTCTATGTGCAGTACACATAGCAAAGGAATGTGCCTCTATGTGTCATTTATTATCACTATCACAGTGGGAGGCTTCAACATCACTGGGATTGAGCGGGTTAAGATGGTGGTCCTGGTACTCATGAAATGTTGTAGGGTAGATCTAGTATGCACTTCTATTTATGATGCTGTTTTCCCAGTGGAAGCATGTCTAATTACTGTTTCAATGGTTATTTAATGTTACAGTTATTTTGGATTAATGGAAAACTTCCAATGATAGTGCATAGTGTGATTGACATATGACACTCTGGTGGTCTCGAAAATGGGCCAAAAGTTCCAAAGTCTAATTTTTGAAACCTTAGAATATTACCCCTCAAGGCCCTGAAGGACTATAACGATCTGATTAAGGACTTCAGGAAAGAGAAAATATTGTGATCATCAGGGGATGCCCTAAAATCAATGCCATGTATCCTTAGGAAAGCAAGTTAGAAGATTTGTTTGTTTGTTTGGGGTACTAGGGATTGAACCCAGTGGTGCTTAATCACTGAGCTATATCCTCAGCCTTTTTTTTTTTCTACATATTTTATTTAGAGACAGGTTCTCACTGAGTTGCTTAGTGTCTAACTGAGTTGCTGAGTCTGGCAACTCGCAATCCTCCTGCCTCAGCTTCCCAAGGCATGCACCACTGTGCCCTGAGAGTTAGAAGCTTTAACCATAGACAAGAAAGGAGTTGGCAATATGACCATGGAAGCAACATTAAAATGATATGGCCACAAGCCATGGAATTTCAGTCACCCCCAGAGCATGGGAAAGGCAAGAAATTGAGTGACTCCTAAAACCTGTGGAGTGAATGTACCTCTGTCAGACAGTACCTCTTTGTCACACCACTGATTTCTACTCATTGGGATTAATTTTAGACCTTTGGTTTTCAGAGCCATGAAAGAATCAATATGTGCTTTGTAAGCCTCCAAGTCTGCAGCAATTTGTTACAGCAGCCATTGGACACTAATACAAATTGTCATCTGGCTTATTTATTCTTTGTCATAATCATACATTACTACTGTATGTTAGCTTGGTAGAAATCATAAGTGAAACCATCCTTCTATGTTTTGGAGGGCAACCTGCCCTACCCAGTGTTCACTGGCTTAAAAGTTAGCATCATCTAAAAATATCTACCAAGTTGATACACAAAAAGTAATTGTTACAAGTCTGTCCTTTGTTATCTTGGAACTTACAAAGGACTTTTTAAAAGACTTAATCTCCAAATAAAGACAGTAACAAAGACATTCTGCCTAATGTGATGTCACTGTCCTGGCTACAAATCACACTGATCTCTCCTCACTGGAGGATGCAATGAAATCTGATAAAGTTCACACTTACTCTTGATATCCTTCACAAAAAACTTTTTTGCAAAGTTAACAATAAAGTACTTAAATACCATGTTCAAAAGTGAACTCATCCAATCACTCATGATAATCGGATAATGGAGTGGAAGAACATACACAGGAATATTTTCAGATACATGCACACATTCAAAACCAAATTAATAGGAAACTCATGATAATTATAATCTTAATTTCTCTAAGTGGTCATTACCTATAAATTCATATTGGTAAGTTCCTATCACCACTACACATTCTGCTGTTGCGTTTTTCCTTAACCAAGCAACTTGGATGGCCATGGTTATTTACCTGGTAGGTTGATCTGATTTCTTATTTCTTATTTCTCAACATCTTGGGAAAATTAATACACATTCATTATTGCAGTTGTTTTAGTCTTCCATTGACCCTAATTTCCAAGAATGAAAATGGTAAGAGAAGCCCTAAAGAATCTCCTGTACTTCAGACATACTCATAATTATCTCTAATATAAATATTTGTCTAGTGTCTGGTAGTCAGGATCAATCACTAGTGAGAACTGCGAACTTTTAGGGGCCTATTCAAAGGTATGATAAACCCAAGGAGGACAAACAGCAAACTTATCTTCTAATTCAATACAATCATTGATGTGTCTCTTGGTAGACTATTCCTTCAGCATTGATGCCACTCCCATCTTTACCCCCTGATTCCTGGAACCGTGAATCCGGTCAATTAGAGAAATAGGACTGTATGTTGGGAGCTGATTCAGAACATGTATAGCCTCTTACATAATTTTTCTTAGCCCAAATTGTGGCTCCAGCTGGAAGTCTAATTGAGACTTCAAAAGGATATTCAGCCATTGTTTTGTGACAGTGTTCCAAGATGGTGCAGAACACGATGGAACAGTGAATTCCATGAGCCTAGAGCCGTTGCTCCACCTCATTTCTGTGAAGTGAGTTACCTAATTATAATCATCACTGTGTGGAAGGCCACGGTGGTTTATATAGGTTTCTGTAATTCATGTACAATAGGCATGATAGAAGCATTATGTGCAGGGAAGGCAACCTTTTTTCATAGTTGTCTTTTCTAGTAAGAACAAAATGTCACAGTTCCACTATGGATTTGTTTCAATGTAATTAACTTGCCACTCATTCACAGGGTGGTCAACCTGAGAGATGGTACCACATCAGGGACTCAGTTTCCACAACTGGCAGATTCAGCACTGAGCAGGGGTTGTAGACAGTCAATCCATGAGGAAACCTATGCTGTGGCCTTTTTATAAGCTCCATCCCTGCCAGCATGATCACTTTGTCCATGAGCCTATTGGCT